CCGACCCGTCTCCCAGGCCACCGGGCACTCCTGCCGCCCGCGCGGCTGGCCCGAGCCCCTGGCGCGTGCACGCACGCAGGCATCCACTCCGCACACATTTATCCAGCACCTACTGTGTGCCAGACACTCATTGGAATGGCGAGCAGTTAGCGCTCAACAAATCTTTAAAATGAGAGGGAGCCTTGCATGGCAGGTCCGTGGCAGAGTTGGAGGTCTCACGGACTCTCTGCCTGGGCTTGTAGGGTTACTCTAGTAAATATCCAGGCTGAAACCTTCCACCCAAGGCTTAGGGGGCCCCTTACCTGACTCGTGTTCCCGCCTGCCTCTTCCGCCTCCTGCTTCACCTGCAGGAGCACCTTCCTGTCCTTCAGACGCTCAGAGCTTGATCAGCCTCTGGACCCTGTGCGTGCCTTTCCCTCAGTGTAAGATGTCTTTGCTTAGCATTTCACATAGCTGCCACCTTACATTGTCCAAATGTCCCCTCGTTGGAGAGGCCTTCACTTTTCTAAATTTGCCCCGTGCACTTTGCCATTGTCCAAGATGTATTTATCACGATCACTATTCCATTCAGCAAACACCTATTGAGCACCTAGTCCAGTTCTTCATTCAAGGTTAACAGACGAAAACTCTGCCCCTTGGTGGAGTTTGGGGAGTGGGAGAGAGGCAACGGATAAACAGCAAGTTCGCAAAGGACGTTGTGGGGCTTGGAAATACAGGGGGAAAGCGCCAGGAAAGGAGGCTTGGGAGAAGGTGGTTTGCAATGAGGTGGTCAGATCCGATCGGGCCCGCGAGCTGATCGTATGGACAGGTTGCCGGGTGACACTGAGAGGTGACATTGAAGCCATACAGACAGCCGGGAACAACACTCTTGGGGAAGGGAACACCCAGGAGAAAGATCTTAAGCTGCAAGACTGCTTAGGGAGTGCAGAGTCGAAGATGCTTCAGTCATCTGGCTTTTCCCGATTGGCTTCTTAAGGTATATCCCTTTCTGGAAAGCCAGCTGGGGACCCTATGCTTGTCTCAGACCCTACAACAGTGCTGGCACTTGGCAGGGGCTAGAAATTATTCCCTGAGTGAGTAAGTGAGCAAAAGGAAGAATGGCTGGACCATCCATCCTGACCTGGGTGTCCGAAGTCCGGAGGGCCATCTGTCCCAGTGCCATGCGGAGCCCCCCACCCCACCCCCATCGCCTAGCAGCCCACTCTTGCTGGAGCATCAAGCCTGGGGAATTCCAATGGGCCAGGAGTCCCGGGGATGCACTGTGTGCGCCCCGCCCTGACCCAGCCTGGTCACCAGCAAAACCTGGAGCGGGGCGCCATCCAGCATGGTTTGGACGGGCGGGGAGCGCACTGAGCATGCTCGGCGCCGGGCGGGGCTCGGGGCCCGGAAGAAGGAGCCCCCTGAAGGGCAGGGGCGGGGGCGGGTCCAACCCGCGGCAAAGCACACCTGACTGTCCCTGCTGCTTCTTCCAACACCTCTCTGGAAGGACTGGGGAACAAATTTTTCCAGAGCATGGTGGGAAAGTTGGGAATCAGGAGACTGGATCCTTGGCCAGCTGTTGTGCGATCTGGGACAAGTGCCATACCTTCTATGCTTCAAATGACAGGAACAGCTATGCTTTGACCTGGACCCCACGGGGTGGGGGCATTGATTGAAATAGGGTGACTGTGTTTAGTCCACTTTAAAGATTCATTTTATTTTATTTATTTTATGTTTTGATGCCGAGCCTTGTACAGGCTAAGAATGCAGGTCTACCATTGAACTACACTCCCAGACTCACAGGATCCATTTCTTAAAGCTTATCTCAATTACCCGCCTTCATACCAGTTTGCTGCTGAGATCAGGAAACGGGTTAACAGACCTGTGAATTCTTGTAGGTGTTCTGGTCGGCTGTCAACTAGACGGGAAAAACACGTTTCTTTCCCCACTGCCAATGACCAGTTTAATCCTTAAATTCAAGCTAGAAATATCCGTACATCTCCAGAAAAAGACCTAAATATTTTTTCTCTTTTTTTAAATTTTATTTTATTGAGAAATATCAATGAGACAGTTTTGAAACTGATTAATAGGACAGTTTCAATAATTAGTACATTGCATATTGTTGTCTTTGTAGTGGTTATTCATAATACAAGATGCAAACAGGATATCCTGTCCAAACACTATTAGTACAAATCTTTCTTCTCAATGAATTAAGTGAAAGTAGCTGTATATCTATCCTAACTATTCTGCATATACAGATACAAAATGGTCCTTCCTTTGTATCACCTTTTTTTGTATAGTCCTATCAGAAATGGGTATTCCATTGGCATCTAAATGCTATAGGTGCGTGAATTCAGCAAAACAATCCAACACAGTCCAGCAGTCCACAATAGTAGTGGGTTATCCACAGAAGTTGTTGACTTGAGCCTTTCACCGCTCAGCATATTAATATGGCTTTACTTTGTATACCTCATTTTTATACTTTTCTGCTGGATGGTTAAGACCAAGATAAAGCAAGACCCGTATAACAAGAAATGTAACTTTTGTATCTGATAAGGTCAGTCAAGTCCCCTCAGGATTTATCCTGTAACCCTGTACCACAGTTTGCAGATCTTTTGTCAGTGTCAGCCATGTGGATGAGTCATGGCCATTGCTTGACCAATTTGCTCTCTATGAAAGCCTGAGAGAATGTTTGCTCTCCAGGTGACTCTCTTTAGGCATACTCTACGTTATTGATCGCCTTGCTCTGTGGCCCCATAATCTCCTTGATCAGAAAATTTGGGACATAACTGAGTTACATGATGTTACAGTATAGGTGCTCCTATGTCCTGAGTCTTCACTGACCTTGAAAGGCTATAAGACCTAAATATTTTAAATCATGCTTTCAAATCACTGTAAAAGAAACAGGATCCAAATGATACGGTATTTCCCAAATTAGAAACTAGATGCCCAATGCTAAAGAAATAGTTAATTAGATTGTTGTAAAAAGGGATTGAAATAATAACAATTTTACACTAAATTAGAAAGAACATGCTCTAACAGGAAGCTTCATAATATAGTGATAAGTGAAAATACTGGAAACACAAATAAATTGTATAAACACAGCGCTAACATTTTCTCCAAGTTTAGAAGAAAGAAGAAGCATAGGAAAATGTGGATAATAGTCTGGGATGTTTGGTAGTGGATTTTTTTTTTAATTTTA